GGGTTGTTGAGTCTTGGTGGGTTTGGGGGCGGCTTTTGTTGGGTTTGGGGGGTTTTGATGGGTTTGGGGGGGTTTTGATGGGTTTGGGTGGGTTTTGACAGGTTTTGTTGGGTTTCAGGGTGTTTTGATGGATCTTGGGTGGGTTTAAATGGGTTTGGGTGGGTTCTGTTGGGTTTTGTTGAGTCTTGTTGGGTTTGGGAGCATTTTGATCAGTTTTGGGGGGCTTATTGAGTCTTGGTGGGTTTAGGGTGGGTCTGGTTGTGTTTTGTTGGGCTCTGTTGGGTCTTCTTGGCTTTGGGTGAATTTTGAAAGGTTTTGGGTGGGTGTTGATGAGTTTTGGTGCATTTTGTTGGTCTTTGTTAAGTCTTGGAGGGTTTGCGGTGGGTTTTAGGGTGCTTTGGTGGCTCTTGAGTAGGTTTTGATGGAATTTGGGTGGGTTTGGGCAGTTTTTGTTGGGTTTTGTTGAGTCTTCTTGGATTTTGCTGGGATTTGATGAGTTTTCACGGGTTTGAGGTGGGTCTTGGGTGAGTTTTGGGGTGTTTCGTTGGATTTTGGAAGGTTTTGTTGGGTCTTCTCAGGTTTGGGTGGATTTTGGAAGGTTTTGGGTGGAGTTTGATGGGTTTGGGCAGATTTTGTTAGACTTTGTTGAGTCTTGTTGAGTTTTGACGGGTTTTGGGGTGTTTTGTTGGGTCTTGGGTAGGTTTTGGTTGAATTTCGTTGGGTTTCATTGAGTCTTGTTGGGTTTTGTTGGGTGTTCGTGGATTTTGGAAGGTTTGGGGTGGTATTTGGTGGCGTTTGTTGCGTTTTGGTGGATTTTGTTGGGTTTTGGCTGATTTTGGTGGGTTTCGATGGCTCCCGATGCACCTCATTGGCTCCCCACGCCGTGTCCCCAGGGCGGTGGGGACATCCCCATGGGTCCCCAACGGGTCCCAAGCGCCTTGGGCTGTCCCGGTGTCCCCCCCGCGTGACACTCGTGTCCCCCCCAGGCTTCCTGAGCACGGGGGACCAGGCGGCCAAGGGCAACTATGGCCTCCTGGACCAGATCCAGGCCCTGCGCTGGCTGCAGGAGAACGTGGGGCACTTTGGGGGCGACCCCCAACGCATCACGATCTTCGGCTCCGGCGCTGGCGCCGCCTGCGTCAGCCTCCTCATCCTCTCCCACCATTCCGAAGGTACCGCCCGCCCCCCAGACCCATAGGGACCCATAGGGCCCATAGGGACCTTCTGGGACGTCCTGGGAGCCACCAAAGCCCCCAGGAAGCCAACAGGAACCTCCAGGAAGCTCCATTAGGTTCCTCCAACCCCTCGGAGATCCCTAAGGATGTCCTGGGAACCCTTCTAACACCCACAGGGAACCCCCAGGACCCATAGGGACCCATAGGGACCTCCTGGGACGTCCTGGGAGCCACCAAAGCCCCCAGGAAGCCAACAGGAACCTCCAGGAAGCTCCATTAGGTTCCTCCAACCCCTTGGAGATCCCTAAGGACATCCTGGGAACCCTTCTAACACCCACAGGGACCCATAGGGACCCATAGGGACCTCCTGGGACCCACAGGGACCTCCCAGGACCCACCAAACCCTCTAGGACCCTCCAGGAAGCCCCACCAGGTCCTGCCAAACCCTTCAGAGATGCCCAAGGACGTCCTGGTGTCCCCACATCCCTTCCTATGGTGTCCCAATGTCCCCCATCCGACCTCATGGCATCCTGGTGTCCCCACGTCCAACTTTATGGCATTTTGGTGTCCCCGTGTCCAACCTTATGGCATCCCGGTGTCCCCACGTCCAACTTATGGTGTCCTGGTGTCCCCACGTCCAACCTCATGGCACCTTGGTATCCTCACATCCAACCTCATGACATCTTGGTGTCCCCATGTCCAACCTCATAGCATTTGGTGTCCCCATGTCCAACCTCGTGACATCTTGGTGTCCCACATCCAACCTCATGACATCTTGGTGTCCCACGTCCAACTTGATGACATTTTGGTGTCCCCACGTCCAACCTCATGACATCTTGGTGTCCCACATCCAACTTTATGACATCTTGGTGTCCCACGTCCAACTTTATGGCATTTTGGTGTCCTCACATCCAACCTCATGGCATCTTGGTGTCCCCCTATCCAACTTCATGACATCCCAGTGTCCCCATGTCCAACCTCATGACATTTTGGTGTCCCCACGTCCAACTTTATGGCATTTTGGTGTCCTCACATCCAACCTCATGGCATCTTGGTGTCCCCATGTCCAACTTCATGACATCCCAGTGTCCCCATGTCCAACCTCATGACATTTTGGTGTCCCCACGTCCAACTTTATGGTATTTTGGTGTCCTCACATCCAACCTCATGGCACCTTGGTGTCCCCATGTCCAACCTCACGTCATCCCGGTGTCCCCGTGTCCAACCTCATGGCATTTGGTGTCCCCATGTCCAACCTCATGATATTTTGGTGTCCCCCACATCCAACTTTATGGCATTTTGGCATCCCCACATCCAACCTCATGACATCTTGGTGTCCCCACATCCAACCTCATGGCATTTGGTGTCCCCACATCCAATCTCATGGCACCTTAGTGTCCTCATGTCCAACCTCATGACATCCTGGTGTCCCCACGTCCAACCTCATGACATCTTGGTGTCCCACGTCCAACTTGATGACATTTTGGTGTCCCCACGTCCAACCTCACGTCATCCTGGTGTCCCTGTGTCCAACCTCATGGCATTTTGGTGTCCCCACATCCAACTTTATGGCATCCAGGTGTCCCTGTGTCCAACCTCATGACATCTTGGTGTCCC